GACAAAATCAAAACAACGCAAAAACAACAAAAATGATACATGAACTCAGAACAAAATGATAGAAATTCACAATCATTGCTACATTACATACTGTTATCTTCAACGAAATTGCTCAGTCCACTAGACATAAGAATGTAAGATTGGGGCTGGGGATTTAGCTCAGCGGCAAAAGCGCCTGCCTGGCAAGCGCAAGGTCATGAGTTCGGTTCCCGGTACCGGAGAAAAACCAAAAAAAAAAAAAAAAAAAAAAAAGAATGTAAGATTGATCAAACAATCAAAGACAGTAACAAGTTAAAAAAAAATATTAAAAATAAATAAAAATACAACTTGGAAATGATGCAGAGCTTCACCATACAAGTAGTAGGAGTTCAACAATGGTTCTTATACTGCATATTGTTGATTTCAGATCAGTCATTCTGATTACCAAATTCAAGCATGCAAAATTCGTCAAGAAAAAAGAAAATTTTAAGCATTGACTGTTCCTCTCAATAAACCGCAGACATCATCAGTACACCTATTCCAGTTATCCTTATATATACATATCAATTTTGGCTTTCATTTTAAAAATAACAAAAACAAATACATAAACAAAACAGCATAGAGAGCAATGAAAATGATACAAAATTTCAAAACATGGTGACAGGCTATCAACAATGATTGTTATACTCCACAATGTCATCTTCAAAATAGTTGCACATATAACGAGATATGGGCATGTAAGACTGATCAAGTACTCATTAATAGTTCCTTTCAATAAACCAACAGACGTTAGCAGTACAATTATCCCAGCTAGCCTGTGTACATATATACATATTTTTTCCCTCTTCCTTATTTCTTTTTCTGCTGCCTTCCAACCCAGTTACTCCTTCTTATTTGAGCAGTTTCTTTTCTTTTTCACTATATCTATTGTATGGACTATCTTTTCCTAACTTAAAAACTTTCAAATATATATCAATATAAGGAGAATAGTATAATAAACCCTCATGTTTATTCAGTAATTCAACTTGAGTCTTTACCAACTCAGGAGCATTTTTCATTTCTCTCCCTACCTGTCCCTTCCTCTCTACTGGGTGATAACAAAGCAAATATCAGGCATCTGACTATTTTATCAGTCATTTAGTTTGTTTCTATACAAAATAAGGATTCTCCTTTAGCATGATTACAGGGTCATTATCATACTTTAAAAATTAGTATTTATCTGTATCACCAGGGATCAACTGTTCAAATGTCCCCCGTTGTCTCATGTTTTTGTGTGGTCGATTTGTTTTTTGCTCTGAATCCTAACTCCTTACAGGTTTGGTGACGTCGTCTCTTCATCTGTAGGTTCCCTTCCAGTTTATTTCTCTCAGATACCGGATAGGTTGTCCCTGGTGTTCTGTGTCTTCTTGACATACCCAGGTATAACTCCATCTTATCATTTTCCATGTTCTTTTATCTCTTATATTTCCTACAAACTCAGATTTAGATGTAGAGGCTTGGTTAGATTCGTGTTCGATTTTTTTTTCTTTCCTTTTGCAAGACTTCTGCATGGGTGGCTTGTGTACTTCCTCTCGTACCACTTCAGGAGATGTTCAGTGTCTGGTTGTCTCTTTTTGTGATGTTAAAGGTGGAGCAGTGTGTTACAGTGTTGTCTGCTGCTTACAAGGATGGCGTATTTCCCAGTGGCTTTGCACATGGTGACTTTAGCAGTCACTGATAATTGATGTATAGACCCATTTGTTTACTTAAGATTTCAAAACTGGGATATTCTATCATTCCTCCTTCATTTATTCAGTTCTCCAAAGAAAGACTTTACCTCATTCAATATTTGATTACTAAGTTGAAATCTAGTTCGTCATAAAAAGCAGCAAAATACAGGTTTTTCTGTTCTCAGCTTTTACTACATAAGTTAGTTCTTCACTAGCCTCTATTGTTTTGTTGTTGTTGGTTTTTTGTTTTGTTTTTTTTTTTTTTCCAGTACCAGGAATCGAATTCCCAACCTTGTGTTTGCCAGGCACGCACTGTGCCGCTGAGCTAAATCCCCAGCCCCTTCACTAGCTTCTAAAAGTGATCAGTAGTTTGAACTTTTTTCCAATTATCTTATGAACTCGTGATTTTAACATTTTTTGCTGTTCTTCAATTCACTGCAGTGATTGTTCTTTTTGATACCCAAATTGTTGTATCTTTGGCTAGTAGGAGCTCTTTGAATGTGTCTCCTGTGAACTGAACTTTGAAACCAAAACAAACAAAGAGCCTATTATTTTGTCCTCAAAGGGATGGAGAAAACATTGGCTCTTCTAGAGTTAGAGTTAAGAGTGACTAGAGACTAATCCCAGCAAGTGATTCTGAAGGCTCTATGAGTGAGATAATAAAGTTATTTATAATTGTACTCCATAGAGAGCTAGGAAATGAAAGACTCTGACTATTGCAATAGCTATTTTGCTTTCCTAGGTGAGAACGCTCCAGGAAGTAAATGTTTTAATTTAAATCAACTACATATAAACCAAGCCTTCCCAATGGAATTTATAGTGTGGTTTGAGAAAGTAGTACATAGTTTTAGTTAGAATTAGGTTTGCTGTTAATCACAAAAATCAAAACAGCAGGTCTTTTTATATTAAATAAAAGTAATCCAAGCCTAACATGGAAGATTCATGGTCATCCAGACCCCAAGCTCTTTCTATCACATATGTTCCATTGTCATCAACGTGCAACATCTACCTCATCACATTGAATGGCTGCTCTAGCTCCACCCATTACATCAATGTTCTAAGTAGCAGGAAGGAGAGTAAAGGGGAGAAAAAGGACATGGAGATTCCCATTAAAGACATTTCCACTTTGCTATATTCTGTTGATCAGCAAAGAGTCACATGAGTACACTTTATTACAAGGGAGGCTGAAAAATAATCTTTATCCTCGTTGGCCAGATGTCCAGATAAACATCAGGGTATCTGTTATTCTCAAAAGAGGAAAAAGCAATCCCTACCTCACAGCCATATTTTATAAAATACTATCTCTTGTGCAGTGCATTTCCACATATGTCTTGAGATCTCAAAATGGGGAGGTCACTTAAAATATTCTCTTTATCTTCCTTCCTGAGTATACTGATTATGTTAGGACATCGAATATATGAAATAAAATTAAGCTGTAGTCTGGTAATTATGTTTAAAAAGGAACTTGAAAGACAGGCACTCTTATACAGCAATAATGATCATTTTAGCTATCCATACACAGTCCAGGCCATCGCTGCTTACATTAGGATTTCTTGGTGATTAGCTTCGTGGTAGAAGTGAGCTTCATGGATATTTTTACAGGGGCTCCCCGATTGGCACTCACTGCTCATGGAATGTCTGGGGTTCAGTCCTCAAAGGACCCTCCCAAAGAGCCTGGGGATCAGAGACAGCAAGTCACTAGCTCAGAGGAAAACAACTTAGTAAGTGACAGAGCTGGAATCCCAACACAAACTCTCCTTTGTTTACTTTGCCACTCTGAAAGACCTGCTTATTTTCTGCTCTTCCACAAAATTTCAGGATAGAAAAACAACCATTTATATGTATCATAGAGAAACTTCTATGGGCTTTAATTTAAATTTTTTAAATTATTTTTTTAAAAATAATGAACTGCAGTATATTTCTGCTAAGAGCTGTAAGCCCACTGTCTCTTTTAATTGTCTAGCCTGATTTGGTGGTTACACGGTCAGTCATTTTTCCTAACCATCCTTTGTGTGCTGAGCTCTGTGATAGGTGCTGAGTGTATAGTAAAGAACAAAGCCGCATATATTCCTTACCCGACGGAGTTTCTAACCTAATGGGGAGACAAACAGTCCCAAAACCACTCTCCATATCGTGTCGTAAGAGGTATGAAGAGAAAGTTATGTGTGTGTGTGATGGGCGGACTTGACTTAGGAGAAGCGGGCGGACTTCCCCGAGGAGATGCCATGTAAGCGGAGGCTGACAATATAATTTTGACCTAACCAGGAAGTGAAATCTCAGGCAGAATGAGCGGCCTATGCAAAGTGGTGTGAGAGCCGTGCACAGGAGGGTTAGGGTGGGAACTTCTGGGCGAGCTGTAACACGAGGCTGAGCCAAGAGCCTAAGACGGGCCCTGCAGCCTCTGGTGTGAGGACCTGTTAGTCTCTTTCACAGGGGGAGAAGCTGATGCTCAGAGCCACGGAGGCATTTGCCTGCAGTCTCACCGCTAGTGCGATGTGGGACCAGGGCCAGCTTCGTCGGGGAGAATAACGGCCCTGACTAAAGACACCCGTGTCCTAATCCCCATCCTATATGTTAGGGTACATGGCAAAAGAGAATTAAAGTAGCAAATGGAATTAGAGTGCTAATAAGCCGACCCTGAAATAGGAAGACATGAGCCTAGATTACATGGGCCCTGTGCAATCAGGAGAACCTTCACACGTGGAAGAGGGTCATACAAGGGGTCATGGGGACACGAGGCAAGCGGCACTTGATGTGCTGTTGCTGGCTTTGAGAAGGAGGAAGAGGCAAAGACCCAAGCAGTACGGGTGCTCTTCAAAAGGCAGGGGGACCAAGGACACAGAGATTACCCCAGTAGTCCTCCAGAAAGGATCACAGCACCACAGAGCGCTCTGAGACCCGTTTATTCTCCCAAACAGAACTGTAAGACAATCAACTCGTGCTACTTTGAGCTACCATATTTGTCATAATTTGTTACATCAGCAACAGAAAATTTATGCACAAGGTATGTGCCATGAGCACCATGCTCTTATCTCTGTGCCAGTGTCTTACCTAGAAGGACTAAGCCAGGATCTATAAAAGTTAAAAATCCGCTCCTTAATACATGATGGAGTCTAAGGTTCTTCAAGTGTGATTTTCAAACCATACTTGAAAATCAAGTATGGTTTTCAAACCAGCGAAGGGTATGTACATTTTTTTACGTGTGCCTTTGGGTTTTGTGAATTTCGAAAGGAAGTGGTTGTGGCCTTTGACATCAAAGGAGAAGCTTGGCGCTGTCAGCTGAAGCTGATAGAAAGATAACGTGAGAGGCAAGCTGCCTTTGAGCGAGTCTCTGAAGATCAACTGCCTCCTGGTCACATTTCTGGTTCAGAAGCTGCTTGCCCTGGTTGTGCTAAGGGGTGATGCTCAAGACGCATCACTTTTCAAGAATTGGATCATGAACAACTTCATCCTCCTGGAAGAACAGCTAATCAAGAAATCCCAGCAGAAGAGAAGAACTTCTCCCTCAAATTTTAAAGTCCGCTTCTTTGTTTTAACCAAAGCCAGCCTGGCCTACTTTGAGGATCGTCATGGGGTAGGTGATCGCTTTCTTCTGTGTTTTCTTTTTGTATAGTATTTTATATTTGGACTGGGCTGACTGCAAAGGATATACACAGGATAAAACAATGCATGGAACACGAACAGGCTGGGTGTAACCACCAGTGTACAATATAAGTAATCAGAGGGGAATGTGAAAGGAGTCAAGAGGTAAGGTGTTGTGCTAGACAGTTTTGGTCCTGAAACCTATAACTTTGGATCCATCACCTAGAAAGCTAAGTTTAATTTTTAAATCATAATAATGTTTTATGTGGAAAATTTTGATTGGGTAGAAATTGAACTTCATATGAAATATGCTATATTTTATGGGTCTTGGATTAATAAAATATTAGTATTTGATGGGACCCAAGGGATAATCTAGCTAGATGTCCTTGTTATACAGTGGAAGAAAGAGTATTTAGAATGATTAAGTGGTATATCCAATGTTATGAATTCAACTCTATTTGTTTCAATGGCCATCACTGCCTAATACCTTGAAATAACAATCCCCAGGTATTTAATAGTCTGAAGTTTGCAAGGCATAATGCCAAGTCTCTGTATCCCTCGAAAAATGTCCCAGGAGACCTCGTGTACCGTGTACAACTTATTCTGCATGTACACCAGCAGTCCTTACCTGGAGATTACAGCAGCTTAGTGAGACTGAACTTACTTATATATCCAAAGACATTCTCATATTCTATAGCATCAGTGAGAGCAGAGGAAAAATTAAACATAGCAGTGTAGTTTGGTAGAAAATGGACTGGATGAGCAGTCTGGAGATCAAATTCTGCTTCTCACTGAGTGACTGCGCCTGGGCAAATGTCTTCCTCCTGCTTTTGGGGTTTTCTTTACAAAGGAAAGGACTGGAAATAACCTGTGAGATCCTTTCCTTCTTTAAGAATCCTTTGTGTCTCTGCAGTAGTGCATGTCTAGTCTTTCTCAGCCTTTTCTCAAAGCATATTTGATGTCTTATTATATCACTGTATTTTTTTAAATTATTAGGGAAATAGAGCAGAGATTATCACTTATATTTTACCAAAGGGACAATAACATTAGGTGCTTGGTGGTCACTTAGAGACAAAGGTATTCAGATTCCTTGTTGGTGTCTGACCTGCTGGTTGCAGGTATGAGCTTGGGGTGCCAGCATTAATGTAGGGGAATCCTAGAGGAGGTCAGGCTGGGTTTGGGCCTCTGGATGCTTGGCCTTTTGAAGTTACAAATAAAATAATGCCCCCTCTTCTTTAGAAGTAAAAAAATTATCTTCAGTAGATTCTTACTGATTGATAATTTTTCAGTCAATCAAAAAACACATAAGCATGTGCCAAGCCTCATTGGAAGGTGGCAGGTGCCAAGTTTTGAACTTGGGGAATTCCTCATATGGAGCTTAGACACTGCGTGACATCAATCAGGGCTTTTTTTTATGAATGGGACATTTAAAGTTCATGTTTTGTATTGAAAGAACAGTCACATACCTTTACATTTTTTTCAAAGGCCATTTTACAATTTTTACTAATTTGTTTTCCTGACTCAATATGGCTTCATATGATTTATTTAGAACTGGTTGCTGTTTATAAACTGTTTGATAGTGAATTCAGCACATTACTTGCAAATAATCGTATAACAAATGGTCTTGATTCAGGATTGCGCTGGTTACAATTTGCATGTTGGTAATGCAAAAATTAATCCACTTCCTTATGTGAGCATTATGAAAATTCGGGGGGTATTTAATTCTTTCTGGGTAGCCCTTGGCTATAGCATCTACGACACATGCACAAATGTCAAATTTCTTTAAAATTCTTAAATAACAGCTTTTAAAGCTTTTCTTTGTTTAAGTTTCTCTTCAAATGTCGTAGAAATTTACTAGTGAGAAAGTTTTTCAAGGTCACTGAGAAAAATATGTGAATTAGTATTGTGTAGGCTGCATCTGTAGTGCATTGTTTAGGATCATCGGTTTGCACACAAAAGCATGCTGTGCATCATTTATAAATAAATGGCACTACACTTAGGGGCACAAATTTTTTAATTTTTGAATTACAGCTTCAGTTTTCCAGTCTTCCCATCTATCAAATGGGTGCAGTGATAGTATCCATTTCATAAGAAGACGACAAAGACTCAGAGGAATAAATGTGCATTTAGGCTGAACTACTTGAAGTGACAATTTGTCAGGTAAAACATGGTCAGACAGTGGCAATTTCATAGTTCAGCTTAATACATAAAGTACTTAATATAGGCCCTGTTACTTAGTCAGCACCTAGGAAAAGCCATTTTCACATCGCTGATGGAAATGGCATGGTGGCATAATATGTTCATATCCAAGTGATAGTATACACTTAAGATTTCTTCAAAATCAAGCTGAGATCAGGGTCCCGAACTCCTATTTTGTGGCTAGATGTTAGCTTGTGGGGAAATATACACTCATCATAAGCTGCGTGATTCTTTCTTTCATGCCTATAATCCTAGCACTCAAGAGGCTGAAGCAGGAAAGATTGCCATGAGTTCAAAGCCAACCTGGAGCTCAAGGCCAGCCTGAACTGCATAGTGAGACCCTGTCTCAAAACAACAACAACAAAAATAAAATACAATAAAAATAAATGGCATCATCCTAGGTTGGCCCTTTTAAGGATCTCAGCTTCTTTTCTACCTCTGCATTATGTTTCTTTTAGTTATAACCATCTGTGAATGAACAACATCATATGAAAAAATCACTCCTTACATTCTCAAAAACAAATCCTGCAATCCTGCTAAGTGTTCACTCGAACTTTCAGCATCCGTGCCTCTTTCTAATGTCCTGATAACTCAATGAACCTTCTATTTTATCATGCACTTAACTGGGGAGTCAGCCGCCTCTTTCCCTTACCAAGTGTGCTATGCCAGTGCTTTCTGGAGGCCCAGGAAGCTCCTCCATCTTGCTGAAGCTTGAAGCGGGGGCTCAGAAAGATTTACCGAGTTGGCAGAGGGTGACTCACAGGCAGGCGTGATCTCAGATGCTCCCCTGTGCTTGCCAATTTCTAGACAATGTAGTCACTGGTGCCTGAAATTCTTTAATAGAGGACAGGGAGAGACAAGGACCTGGCAGTGCGATGTAATAGTCACTGTGACGGGGGAGGGAGTTGGGGGAGTACTGATTCACAGTGTTTGTCAATTCCTCTGGTGTAAATACTCCTATCATGGCCATATCAAGCTACCAATATGATATCTGCTCTTCACAAATTTCTGAAAATTTAACAATCCAGCCTCATGGGCCAATGAAAGTCAAATCTAGGACCTTCCATTGTTGGAAGGCTTAGCTACCAATAATCTTCAGAGAGGTAGTTACCAACTAAGCAATATACTTAGCAGCATATGACTGATATAAGATCACTGGAAGGGGTAAAAGGGGAAAATGGGGGCCTTGGGTGCTTAAGTAGGCACACGATGGAAGGGCCAGCAAGACGGAGACAAGCCACAGGGGGTGAGGACAGTGTGGCCAACAAGAGCTGGGTTCAAATCCTGCCTCTCCTACCTTGCAGAGGTGGGATCGCAGGTTAAGACATTTCACCTCTTTAAGCCCCTGTTTCCTATTTGTAAAATAAGAACCCTAATATTACCTACCAAGTAAATTATGAGAAAAATATTTAACAACCTTAATACTAATTGCTACATGGTAAGGTGATTATTATTCACACTTTTTTGCCAAGCACTACCCAGACCTTCTAAAAAAACACTCGGGAAGCCTGGAAAGATTTCCCTGAGGGTCAGGTTTGCTGTGCTTCCCACAGCAAGGGAGCAGTCGCTGTTTCTGTGGGACAGAGTAGACACTCAAGGTCCCCAAGCAGCCAGAGCCCTTGTGAGGACCTCCACTTCCCTAACCCGCAGTCTGATCTAGCGGCAGAACCATTTCTTAGAGTATTTGCCCATCCCAAAATGTCAGGAGGGGAGGAGATGGTTCCTCTTCTTTGCTTTTTGGAAGCATTACTGTCCCCTGGTCAAAAATGCAGCCTACATTATCAGAGAGATCTGGATCAGAGACCAGTTTCACCATCTGAGCTGTGTGACTTTGTGCAAAATACTAACTACTATGAAAGTCTCTAAAAAAGCTATTTGCGTTTTTAAATGGTTAAATATTCCTTCATCTTACTTCTTTTTAATGAGCTAAAGGCCACCATTATTCTATAATAGTAACATAGTAACTATCATTTACTGAAGCTGAGCACTTACTGTGTGTGTCAAGCTCTGGACTAAATAGAGATTACTTTGTCTAAACTTGGTAACCGTCCTGAAAGTTAGGAAGTATTATAACCCCCATTTCTAGATCAGGAAATGGAAGAAAAGGGAGTTTAAGTAACTTGCCCGAGACCCCTTATGTCTCCAGAGCCTTCGCACTTCCCTGAGTAATGGTGCTTATTTCTACGAACAGTTGTTACTCCTTGGTAATTGGGAACCCCATTGGGTTATTACAGAGAGTATGGTGTGCCCTTGCTCTGAAGTCCTTAATCTGAAGGGTGGTCTAGAAAATCACCATCCCAGGCTACACGACTACCTCGCAATGAGGTATACCATGAGGTCTATTTCCATACACACTTCAGGTTAATCCTTATCTTCACTCACTTTAGGGAGCTCCAGTGTGTCCAAAAAGAAATGGAAGCTCCAGCCAGATTTATCTCCCAAAGTTTCTCTAAAATCTCCCCAGATTTCCATAGTGACCTTCCTGGTAGAAGCCACCAACATCTCTCACCTGGGGACATCTCTAAGGGCCTCCTTGTGCCCGCCATCTTAGCCCCTAACACTCCTTTCTCCACACAGCGGCCTGCACGAGCTTTCACATGACGACCTTCCTCAGAAGTGACGTAGTGTTTCAGCATCTTTCCTATTAACAAAAGAGGGACACCAGAATCGACCGGGCTGTTCCAGCTCACATCCCTCTTCCTCTCATCTAAGTTCCAATCACACCAGATTGGCTTCAACTTTAAAGCCTCATCTTAAATGTCACTTGCTGAGAGAAGTTTTCCTTGAATCCCC